CTATATAGCTCTCTATTAATTTGTTTTGGAATTAGATAATTATGAGAAGAGAATAACTTGGACATAAAAACATGAAAAACTTTAGTTAGGATTTCATATTTTGTTGAAATCAATTATGTGAGAAATATGTACAAAACCATGTAATTTCTGTCCATTTTGAATAAAGATTTGGCCCATATGTGAGAGCAACTTATATTTTTCTCTCATAATATTCTATGATACTAATTCCAGAATATGATAAGGAACTTTATATTATAAAACACATCTTACATTAATTTGATACATAGAATTAATTCCTATACATTTTCTAAATCCTGTCTATGAAGTGAAAACTTCATTTATTCATTTTTCTATGATAGTCAAATTTGGTACATGCATACCATATACCAAAGGTATTATTAGGTATAAAGGTATAATTAGATATTAAACCAGCTAACCTTTACTTAATCTTTACTAGACAAATACTGAACTTTTAATCCTTATATAACCTCCTCCACCTCATTTTGCAGATGAGGAAACAGATTAGAAAGGAAAAATAACTTGAGAGCACAACATTTCAGTTAGAAAGGAGGAATAAATTTCTTAAGATCTATTGCACAAAACAGTATAGCATATTGTATCTTTTGAGTATTTGTATATTTTCACTGTACATATATATCACATATTGTATACTATGACTATAGTGTATTATATATGTAGTCTAGTATATGTTTCAAAATTGCTTAGGGGGTAAATTTCAAACGTCGTCATCACAAAAAGATCAGTATCTGAGATAATGATTATATTAATTAGCTTGATTTAATCATTTCTCATTGCATACATGTATCATATCACATATTATCTGATACTACCCCGTAAATATATATAGTAATAATTTATTGACATACAATAAATCATTCAAAAATAAAAAGGAAAAAGAAAAATAACAAGATCACACGCCTATTTTATACCCAAGCCAAAATACTAACTAACCTGAAAGCTTTGTAAGATAAACTCAAAAGCAACTAATTGTAGTATAATAGTGGACGTTTGCACTTGGTATTGGGGCATCTCTGAGCAAGGGTTGCTGACTCTGCTGGGTGGAAGGTGAAGGAGCTTTTTCTTGGAGGAGATTGGGGTTGAGTTGGTTTGGGTTTGCCAGTTGGGTAGGCCAGCTGTATGTAATAGCGTCTTCAAAGGCAGAATCGTGAAAGAGCATAGAACCTTCATGGAAGGGAAAAAGATTTGCTGTTCTCAGAGCAAAAGGAGGGTACGAATGGGTTGCAGAGCATAGACTACAGGAGTGAGCAAGAGGCCTGAACATATTGTACAGGAAGTCAGTGTGGTGCGAATGCCCTGAAGGTGTTTGTTTGCAATAAAAATGGCTGGGTCCCAGTTGTCAGAGAGTCTTATTCAGTTAGACCCAAGAATTTTCTTTTGGACAGGAATCCCAGGTGACTGAGTGCAATGTGGGAGATCCTTTTTGTGAATAACAGTTAAAAATGTTGGAAAACAATGTGCTGGAGAGTGACATGGTTAATGTGATTGTGCTATAAACACAGACACATACACACGAAGCTCACACACACACACACACACACACACACACACAGGCGCATACACAGAGCAGCTCAGCGGAGACAGGAAAGTGTTCTCAAAAGCGATTTTTGGTTTATTTAGAATGCAGAAATAATATAAAGGTGACTTTTTTTAGTGGTTTTTACAACTCTGTCACACACATTCTTGTGCTTATAATTGATTTTGGATGCTATTTAGATTACTGGGCTCTAACAAATGCTAAAATGACAGGATCCAGTTTTATTCATTTTTAAGACATTATATGCTACAAAAAAGCATGACCTTTTCAAACCAAGTCTTACTTGTTTTGCGTTTCTGTTTTTTCTGCGCTAGTCCTTAGTAAATTTCAATTATTAAGAAATTGATTGTCAATAAATCAATGATGACTTAATTGATTCATATTTTCAGTAGAACCTAATTTCACACAACATAATTTGGTGATTATTTAATAAATCAAGCAAACTGCATTTCTGTGCTTTTCCCTGGGATTAATTTAACAATGTAAAGGACTAATTCCAAGATAAAATTTCAGTTGATATGCAAATTTAAGATTTGGCACTGTCTCATTAAAATATAAGGTAAAAGTTAGTACATCCCATTGACTTTGGGTATATTTGAAACAGAATAAGTGAATACAAATCATGTTTAAAGAAAGTTCTGTTCCATTGAATTACGGTTATGATTCAATGGAACAGAAATCAGGTGGCTCCCAAGAAATTTTTTTTTTTTTGGTAGAAAATTGATACCTCCCCATCTTCCAAAACAGAATGTCCGTACATTCTTCAATGTTTAAACAAACTCGAAAGGAAAATATAGGAAGGAGCATTCATCTAACTCATCTGGAATTAGACACAACTCATCAGAATCTCATTGGGTAACCTGAGATGGCCTTGGCCAACTGGGGATTCTCAAATTTGGGATGTCAAATCCCACACTGATGTTTACTCCACACTTAAGCTTGTTCAGTACAGATGGTAGGCATAAAATAGCTTAACTTCAATGGATCACGTCCTGAGAGAATGAGAGATACGGTCCATTTTGTTGACAGGAGGGTTGTTTTCACATTCCACTTGAATTAAATTATGCTTGTTCATCCCGTGGTACATAATCTCTGGCAAGGATTCTTAGAAAGAGCTATCATGTGGACTCTTGGCAAAACAAGTTAAAAATTTTTTTAAAAGGTTATAAAGTAACACTGTGAGAAATTTGTAACACTGTAAGAAAATATAAGGCAAAAGTTGAACAGTTTTCATTTATTTTGAAAACTATATAGGTATCTATTTAGAGTAACTGAATTAAATGGATTTTTATATATTATATTTAGATATATTGTATTAGTCCATTTCACACTGCTGATAATGACATATCCCATACTGGGAACTTTATAAAGAAAAAGACATTTAATGGACTTATAGTTCCCCATGGTTGGGGTGGCCTCACAATCATGGTGGAAGGCAAAAGGCACGTCTTACATGGCACAGACAAGAGAGAATGAGAGCCAAGCAAAAGGGGAAACCCTGTATAAAATCATCAGATCTCGTGAGACTTATTCCCTCTCTTGAGAATAGTACAGTGGAAACTGCCCCCATGATTAAATTATCTCCCACCAAGTCCCTCCCACAATACAAGGAAATTATGGGAGCTACAATTCCAGATGAGATTTGGGTGGGGACACAGCCAAAGTGTATCAGACTTGTTTATATATTAATATTGAGGGTCAATGTATGTCTTAAATGTCAGTGAACTGACAAAATAGTTGGAATTTTTCACATGAGAAAGATACTCTGTGTCAGATATACTGGATAATATGATCAATATAAGACCCTAGGTTTCAAATATTCTCAATTAAGTTTGGTAATTAAGACATAAATACATGAGATTTTTCATAAAGGAGGAAATAATATTAAAGTAAGTTGTGATCACAGCAATACAGTAGCCCCCCTTCTCCAAGACTTTTAATGGATAATACCAAACTCTATATATACTATGTTTTCTCCTGTATATACATACCAATGATAAAGTTTAACTTACAAATTAGACACCATGGAAATTAAAAACTGGTAATGAAGTACAACAATTATAACAATATAGTGTAATAAAAGTCATATGAATATAACTTTTCCTCTCTCAAAATATCTTATTGTACTGTACTCACTTATTTTCAGACCACAGTTAACCATAGATAACTGAAATCTTCTAAAAGGAATAACTATGGTAGCAATGCTTTATCAGACTTTGGATAGTAATTTCTGGGTCTTGGAGAATTATTGGGCTCTGTAAGAGTAGGTAGGGAAGACAGAAAATTATTTCAGTTAAGGAAGACAGTATGAGTGAACAAAGTCTTAGTAACATGATGCTTTTAGACATGATGTATTTCTAGTGCAATTGAGTGTCCCCAAGAAGATACTTGGACTCCGTGATTCACTAGAAGGACTCACAGAACTCAGAAAAACTGTATACTCCAGGTTGTCACAGGAAAAAGAGATGAGTTAAAATCAGCAAAGGTGAAATGCACATAGGGTGGAATCCAGGAAAGACCAGTACAAGTTGCCAGTTGTCTTCTCCCAGTGAAGTTATACAGATAGTACTTAATTCCTCCAATGACAATGTACGATAACAGACAACAAGTATTGCTAAACCAAGGAAGCTCACCCAAGCTTGGTCTCCAGGGTTTTTATTAAGGGTTCATCCATTGGGATAGAACGCCCCTGTGACTAATCTTTTCCAGTATTCAGCTCTCCCAAGAGTCAAACTGTTTCAGAATGGCCCAGGGTCCTAGGCCATGTAAATAAAGTCAGACATTCACAATAAATCAAATTGTCAGCATAAACTATCCGCATAGCACAAGACCCAAGGGTAGACACTCTTAATAGGCAGGATAGTCCAGGAGATGAGAGGTTACCCCTCAAGAGAAGGTCAAGGGCCAGTCTTTTCTTTGGAACATGCAGGGTTTGAAAACCCCACAACTGCTAAGTTAACATTTTACTGCACAATAGAGGAAGAGTTTGTGTGATGGTGGGTCTTGAATGGAGGAATGAACCTGAAATCATGAAATACTATATTAAAAAAAAAAGAAGCCTGTATTTATTTGTTTTAATGATGAGAAAAAAAATACAGATTAAAAGAAAATCCACTTCATAGAATAGCAGTTGGTCTTATCTGTGTGCAGGTATCTGGGTATTCTGTACTGTGCGCTTTGCCTTAATGGTGATTTTGTTGCCATGTGTGATCCTAACAGTGACACCTCAAGGAGGGAGTGATTACTTAATAACCCTCTAAATATTTCACTGCTTCTCCAGTTGCCAGTTCTATAGAAGAGTTAATGTTATGCTAAACTGAAAATGTGAGAATGAACTACTTACTAATCTTTTTCTTTTAATTTCTGTCCACCACCCTGCACCCCATCCTTTCTTTTCTGAACTGCAATGTGGTCTTCTTTGAAGATGTTCCAGTGGATTTGATCGTCATCGGCAGGACTGGGTGGACAGTGGATGCCCTGAAGAGGTACACATGCTTTATTGTGACAGAATCCTGGGACCGGTGTTTGTAACTGATAATAATTTTTATTCAATATGCATGCCCTAAAACTTAATGAAAGAGAAGAATCCTTCTGTAAGCCCAATGTCTGTACTTATTAGGGGTTCAATAACTGCTGGTTATTTTTGTTAAATTAGATACCATTTTCATTAGCATTGTAGCAACTTGCTACAGCCTCAACTATATACAGACATTGGGCTTAACTATTTATATGCGTTATCTCAATATGTTCTCATATTCGTTCTATGAAGAACAGTGCCTGCACTGTCAGTACCCTCACATTACCAAGGAAAGAAAAGGAAGGAGTGAGGGGAGCTTGTGGGGAAGGGTGGAGTGTGGATTCTTGGAGAGTCAGTTTAGTGGCTGGGAGGAGTGCCAGGGTTGGAATCTGTATGAGTAAAGACCAGTTCTCTTAAACGCTTGCTATTTAACTCAGATGTACCAAGCTATTGTTCCTCTTTGTAGTTCAAACAGCAAGAGCAGTGGTATTGTGTGGGGTGGAAAACTGCAGCAAATTGGCGTGCTATAATAAATGAGAAATTGTATAACGTTAGTTGGCATAGAGAAATGGTATAATATCAACTCTGAGGGAAACATGATAGAGATAAGGATGCGGTGAAGTGATTTGACCAACCATTGCAGAAACAATTTTAACCCATTTAAAAGCTTTTGGCGAATTGTATTTATACTATAATTTCAGGATCATATAAAGATATTCTATAAATTTTATTAAGAAAAGTATGTATTTCTTCTCCCTTCATTAAGTTTTAGGGTAAGAATTTTGAATTAAAACTATTAAGAGTTACAAAAAATTTTTTTATTTAGCAAAGCAAGTCATACCAAATGCTGTTTTAAAAACTATTAGATCCGTGGTTACTAAGGCTCTTTAAAATTCATTTTTTGGGGGGCATGTCTCATAAAGATCCTGAGAAATACATTTTCTTAAGAACATTCTTGCATTTTAAATGCAGTATTGCCAGCGCAGTTTTAATCAACCTCTTGACATTCATTCAGGAAGTGACGGCAGTGTGTACTCATCCATCTCGCTTCAATTATCTAATAATGTAGTTCAAAAGAATATCTATTGACAAAGCCATAGTTGTGTTTTGAGACAGTCATTTCTTTCATATAATCATCACAATATAAAATGTTGAAAATGAATATCTGTATATGCATAAAGATTGAGAATATAATTCATATACGTATTCATATATATGTAACGGGAGTCCATATATTTTCTCCCAAATTTTGTTTCTCTTTTAATTTTCTCTATGATTTTATTTGATAATTAACATTAATTATCAATTTAGTGTGTCAAATGTATCAATCTTTTATTTTTATGATGAGTTTTATATGTCTGTGGATCTTGTTTAAAAAAATTTTTCTACCAAATATCATCTAGGTGTTAGGTTTATAAATTGTTTTTCTGAATGTTTTAAAGCTTTGCCTTACACATCAAAATATATTCCGTTTGTAATTGATTTTTATGTATTATATAAGATAGAGATTCAGTTTTGTTGGGGGGGGGGTTCTTGATGGATAGCCAAATTTCAAGCACCATTTATTAAATAAGCCTTTCTGTGGGCAATATCTTGCAAAGCCGCCTCTTTTATGTATATTTTCTGGCCCCTCCTCTTCTGAAGCTCCCTCAGTACCTAGATCAGTGTCCCATTTTGTTAATTACTATTGTTTTATAGGAAATCTTACTATCTACAGGACAAATCTCCTTACTTTTTATTCCTCACAAGTGTTCTGGCTGTTTTAGGACTTTTGTCCTTCATATAAATTTTAGACTCGCCTTGTCAAGATCTGTAATTCATCAATAAATGCATCTTATTAACATTTTTATTGGAAATACATGGAATTGTGAATTACATCACATTTCCTATTTATGGAGACTTTTAACATTTACCTTTTTTACTATTGACTTCTAAACTAATTGAGTTATCATCTGAGAACATGCTATAATCTTTAAAGTTGATTGGAAATTTTTTTATGAACTAGTACATGGGAAATTTGTACAAATGGTCTATGTGTGTTCAAGAAAAATGTGTTTTCTTGTTAGTTGGGTGTCAAACTTGATAAATGTGCTGTTCAGCTATACTTCTCCATTCTCTTTATTTTCACCTTCTTAGTTATTTGAGAGCTTGACATTTTCATCTTCTCATATTTTTAAACCTCTGTTTTATGTAATCTGTTTCCTTATTTCTCTGTGCTGTATTTTGGGCAATCTCTTCCGATACATTTTCCAGTTTATTAATTCTCCCTTCATCTTGTTTAATGTTCTATATAGTCTATTCATTGAAGTGGAAATTCCAACCAATTTATTTTTCATTTCTAAAATTTAAATTTGACGCTTATTAAATTTGCCAAGTATTTTATAGTTTCCTGTGAACAGTGCATTTCTAAATTTTATCTTTTATGATTTTAAATATTCCATGTATGATTTTTATATATTCCATATTGGATGATCCCGTTATCTAAAGTTTTGGTGATCTAAAGAGTTTGTTCATTGTTTTTGCTGTCTTTGTCAGACAACTATTTTTATTTCTTTCTTAGTGTGTATTTGTCTGTTCCTATTCTAACATCTAAATAGGTGGTGCTTTCCACCAAAGAGGATTTGATGATGGGATACTCGGGATTTTTGGGTTACCATAAGTCTCTGCCTTTATGTGAGGAGGAGAAGTTCAGATTTATCTCCCCTGTCTACTGCTGCTACAAGGCTTGTTCTTTTCAGAGCAATATTGATTTTGGCTACCTCAGGGCAAACTCTGCTCTTTTACTTCCCTAAATGTATACAGCTCCTGCTGTCTTTATAGCACATAGCTTTTGCTTTGTTTTATTTTTTGAGTGGGGAATGGAATAGACAACGGAAAGGCGCCATTGGGGATATTCTTTACTTCCTGCAAATTCTAATGCTTTAAAATTCAAGTTTTATTTAGAATCTATTTGTTTTGCAACAGGAGGGCTATTTAGTTTCTTAGTCTGCCTTTACTGCCAAAAGCAATCTGAGTCAGGATTTTACCTTAAATGTTTGGATGTTTACTGAACATTAGATCCTGTTTACTGAATATTAGGTCCTGTTCATTGACAATAGAAACACAAGGAGAGAAAAATATATGGCAAGTTCCAGTCCAGGCTTCTTGAGTTTGAGATGTCTGTGACATTCACATGCATACACCTGGTCAATAGATGACTTTTTGGGCCTGAAATACAAAAGGGAAATGTGGACTGGAAATACAGATTTATGAATAATCAACATAAAGATGTTCATTGCAGTCATCGGTGTGGAGGACATTGCAAAAGATAATGCATAGAATAAAGTAACAAATCAAGAATGATCCATAGGAACTACCCCAACACTTAAGGTATTGACATAAATAGAAGGAAATTGAGATGGAGTTGTGAGGTAGGTATCAGAACATTGAGGAGAATGTGTGTCGTAGAGACCAAGAATAAGAGTGTACATCTGCACCATGGACTGAGAAGGTATCAGTAGGACACCATGGAAGATGTGGAAGCTGCTTAGATATTTAGAAACATTGGTATGAGAAATTTCATCTCAGTTGAATTAGAAAAGAGCAAGGTTGTCATAAATGGGGAAGCTGGAAGTCTGAGAAGACCAAGGCAGACTGACCTCTCTGGAATATGACTGTGAAGGAATGGAGGGAAAGCACTATAATGTCAGGATGCACTGAGAGAAGAGAAAGGACTGAGTTTGCAAAATAAGATTAGGCACGCTTGTGTAGCTTTAAGTGCTGTTGGTAAGAAGCCAGCAGGGAATTATTGTAGAGAAAGGACCATGATCACATGAGCAAATTCACAATACCTGTGAAGGTGGGCTGAGTTGGGCTAGGACATAGGTTGAAAGAATGGCTGTAAGGAAAGGTCCCCATCCATTATTACGAAGGAAAGAATAGGTCAGCCCAGAGTCAAGTAAGTATGCTGATTCACAAAAAAATTTAAAGAAATCTTGCTGATCATGTCTCTTTATCAAGGAAATGAAAGGTATAAAACTGGGAGAATCACGACGGGATTGCAGTTTTCAGTAAATGGAGAGAGTTTGAAATTCATACTGAGCATAATGGGAGAGGTGATTAGCAAGACACAGCAGTGCTGCCAAGTGGTACAGACAGCCTGGCTGAGGATGCGGGAGATGAGTTTGTGGAACCCCCGTGGCGGGTCTGTGCGGTTATTCTCCAGCTGTGCCTGGCCCTGGAGCAGGCAGAGAAAAGGCAGATCTTTTACCATATTGGGTATGTTCTTTAAAGATATTGTAGGAAAAAACAAACAAACAAAACAAAAAAGAGAGCAAGATGCTTGGAGCTATTGAAATGAGAGGTTGAAGTGATGGGGAAAAAAAGAAACTAAAAAAAAAATCATTTTGCTAGGCTTTCTAAGTAACCAAAGTATAGGAAGAATTGGAGTTCACAGGTGCAGGGATAGATTGAAAAAGGATAATTCAGCTTACGATTTCAGATCTGAAACATTTTCCACTACAGACATGGTCCAGGGTGTGGGGATGGCAACTAAAGTGGTATCTGAAAGGAAATCATTAGATTAATGGGGCTCAGAAGGTGCAGGAACTAGAATTTGGGGAATTAAATGAGACCCTGGTATGTTTGGACTTGAAGTGGAGAGCAAACCTGTTATATATCCTATTGATGAAAGGAGGCTGTCTTAGGAATCTTCATTAACAAGAGGAAAGGTGCCTAGCGCTCCACTGATGAGAGAAGTTTAAGAAAGCTATTTATTTAACAATAATTTTAAAATGTGGGATGAGAACCACTCATGTGCTGTATAATTATTTTCTATTCAAGGCCTACCAGTGAGAGGGAGTCCATTGAGGCACAGAAGATGGATAGAAACACCAACTTCTGCCGGGCGCGGTGGCTCACGCCTGTAATCCCAGCACTTTGGGAGGCTAAGGCGGGTGGATCACGAGGTCAATTGATCGAGACCATCCTGGCCAACATGGTGAAACCCCGTCTCTACTAAAAATACAAAAATTAGCCGGGCGTGGTGGCGCGTGCCTGTAGTCCCAGCTACTCGGGA